TGTCATTACGCTTTCCAGGCATCGTGAGAGACTAGAATCTGCCAAATGCGAATAGCCTTTGTTCTCTCATTTCCCTATTCGGTAATTTTTTTCTTGATATTAGTCACCCTGGATGCTTGTGGCGGAGCGGTATCGGGCTTCTGCTATCGGCTGTATTCGGCATTCTGTTCGGTGGTATATCGGTAGATACAGTGGGGGCAAAATGTCCGACAATTAAATGTAAATAACTTCTCGTGGCGAATATCCCCGGTGAGCTCACAGCTATGTCCAGTTTCGAGGAAGTTCGGTGTTAGTGTTCATCGTATTGTGCAAAATAACCATTCACTGAAAAAGGTGAAAAGCAAACGTGCTTATGAAATTAGTCACGAATTCATATTTTCCTTAGACGAAAACTAGATGATCCGCGAGGTCCTTTTGAGAAAACATCAGTGAAATACCTTGATTTTAATCCCCGTGCATATCGGGTCTGGTGTCGTCGGGCGTCGACGCCGCTTGATTTCAGCGTTACTAACAGCTACTTAACCTTCCATCTTATACTTGAGGCACCACCGAAGGTGTTTTCCTGCGGTATGAGATCGGCTTTGGGTTTATGGTAATGGCAACACCATTAGAGAAGGCCGGTTTGCTAACCTGAGAGGATCCGCATCTTCCAAATGGGTGTTTCTTGGACGACCCCACTTGTCTTTTTCTGAAGTCCCTGCGCCTTGCACCTTGAACTATTACTGCCGATAGACTTGAACTACATCCATAAATTTCCGTTGGTATCTAATGCGAGTATTTTTTTTCACTATGTGTATTCGATGCTCAGCTTATCGAAGTCTTTGTTATTGTGACCCTAATCAGCCCTGTCAGTGTCTAACGGAATCATGCTTTCTGTGTATCATGTTTTCCAGCGCGAACCTCCGTTCTCGGCGTTGTGTGCGATCGCAACCATTGTCCCGTTAAACTTTTGCGCTGTTGTTGGTGACTTCGAACAGATTGCTGACTACATCCCTTTATGTCTCTTGTCTTTCTGCTTTGTTTTTGCTGATTAGTTACCACGATTTGCATCAGGTGAGCAGCTAAAGGGCATAGCTTGCTCGGGCTCCACATGAATTCCTTAGGCCCTGGTATCGTTCGTCGTCCATCCAGTTGAAGACGTATTCCGTGAAGGTAACTAGCAGGTTACCTCAGTTCTAGTGCTAATTGTCCGCTTTCTCTAATCTGATTGATATTTTTCTTATCCATGTTAGCTCGCAAACCCTAGGCCTATCTTACTGGCGCTTTCGCTTTAGGTTTTAGAGTTCTTCAATAAGCATGCGGAAGTAAGGTGCGTGCGGATGGCGGGAACGGAATTCGACAGAGCCGCCTATGTGGAGTTCACGCAACAACCGTCCATCATCAAAGCGTTCGGCCTTATGGGTGCAACGCTTAATGGTCGTCAGGTATGTCCTAGATGTGCTCATTCAATCTGTTTCAGATAATGGTCCAACACTCCAACTGCGCTATCATCAAGCCAGCCAGTAATTTCCCTTACTTTGATGAGGCCAGCAAGGCCGCCGCCGCGGCAGATGCCAAAACAGACCACCGTAAGTTGAAAGTTCTTATTTTTTTTAACACGAACTCACAACTAATGTTGGCACGCTTCCCATTCAGGACGTTCCTCGTCTACCTCTGATACAGTTGCCTACTACCGTTGTGACGCAGTTCACGATTACACTAGCAGTCTACTGGTCGGGCCCAGAGTGTTTGATTAGACATCGTTCTCAATGACAATATTACACCAGCAGTATACGCTAGCGATTAACTGCGATGGATCCTTTTGTCTGTAAGGATTATTGTAGTAAATGGAATGTGATGCTATCACGGCGCTCAAACCTAAACAAAACGGTTGTGGTTCTCAGCCAGAACCTTTGGCTCAAAAGTCTAGAGCTAGAGCTAAACTAATGGATAAGCAGAATCTCATGGAACAAATTGCCTTATTTGTTTCAATCCCCAACATAGAGACCCAGGAGACCATTGACCATCTTGTTAGGAGAGGAGATACTGTGCTGGCGTCCGCTAGTAAAACTCATTGGGTTACTAACGTTCAGAAACCACCGCACCACGATGATGTCCATTCTCTTGGTGACTAGGTAGTAGGGTCAGGTGGACCATGCTTTTAGCTTCGCGCCACTTGACCGCGATTAATTGGCAAAACTAATTCGATAAAGTGCATTCAAAATGTGCACCTCTTATGAGACACTGCATTATAGCTCCTGAAGATTAGTAGATAAACGAGAAATAGGGGCTCTCGCTAGGTGGTTAGACGCATCCGCAATGGTTAACACTGATTCGCAATTTGGTTTCTGTGTACGCCGGTTCAAGTTGGTGACTGAATGCGAAATAGCGTTGTTACAATAACGATCTACCTGATGATCTTTGAAAAGGTCGAGACCTGTGATGGGTTGTCCACGTGTTTTCCGGGCCTCATCCACACTCCGCATCCATCGAATAATGCGCTACAATAATCGCATGCATCAGTCCCCTAACCATTGTTTCGTGTGTAGACCATCGCCCAGAAAAATGAGCCACAATAATCTCTCACCAGGCCTCGATTATATGATCTGCCTTACAGTCCGTACTCTGTCAAAATCGACAGCAGGCATCTCTTGCTGAAACCTCGAGGGTTGAAATACTCCCGGGACGTTCGCCTACACACTGAGTATGCGGACGTTATTGCTCTTCCTGGTCCAGATCTATCGAAAAAGCAAAGCACTTTAAACAACTCACTAAATTCTGCCGCATGGTTTGGACATGGTGGTCGCGTGAAAGAAGCGACTTCCATCACGCGTTTGGCACAAAGGACAGCACGACTTTAACCCTAGATTGCCTCGTAATACGATTTCTCCCAGTACGAGGTCCCGCTGTCCCTCATCGATATGATCTCCGTTATTCTTGACATGGTTGAAGCTTTAGGAACTGAATTGCGGGCATTATAGCACGTAGGATCATTACAGCGTAGAATGCAGGCCGCGGATGACGAATCAGAGGATGATTGGTCTACTGGACCGTACCAACTCAAGAATGATGATCATCTTATTCCTCTGTATTGTAAGGTTTGCCACATCCATACCTATGTTTTCACACATTTGGGAAAGAATAACTGTGATCAAGTATCAGACCTGGTCGGATCTACATCTCTAAACGACTGCCTTTTTGGGCGACTTCAGTGCCCGGGTTAGCAGAGACTCGGAAAGCTGGAGTTGAATCACTGAACGACAACGGTGGAAGACTACTATCGATGTGTCCAACCTTCGAACCCTTGATATCAGGCACGTTGTTCGTCAGAGGGGACAAGCCGCTTATCATGTGTACTCAACAAACAAGTATACAGATACATAATCGGGGAGAAAAATCATTCAAGTGAGAAAACTGAGCCGTCACAAAGGGACGACCTTACCTCGGTGTGACGGTTTGCGCACCTCAGTGACCCATTGAGCTATACTGAGGGGAGGGGAAGGGGGCGTTCCCGCAACAGTCAGACTCATACCAGGTTGGTCAATGGTTAAGGGTCTGTTACACAAGGTCTCCTTTGCGCACCCAGTGACCCATTGAGCTATACTGAGGGGAGGGGAAGGGGGCGTTCCCGCAACAGTCAGACTCATACCAGGTTGGTCAATGGTTAAGGGTCTGTTACACAAGGTCTCCTGGTATTTCCCGCCAAACACTGCTGCCTCGCGGTTAGGCTTTTAAGCCAAAGGCTTTGGTTGAAGACCCTAATCACCCTCACACTATCCTATCCCACGTACAACCATCAACTGCACATATACAAATAAGCTCATGTCACATCGGCCGTCACGTGGTGCCATCAGCCGGATCGCCTTAGTTGCTGCATACAGCGGGGTGGGTAAGGGAGAACAGACTATTGCTGACGCCTCACTTCTTTCTCCCTCATACTTTTTCTTCCCCATCTCCCATCCCCATTAATAACTCCTTGTGGGCCCGGCATCTAGGACTGATGACTCCGTTCGTCATGCATCGGTTTTGTATGCAGCGTCTCGTCACATGGCACCGACATCCTCAGCTATCTCCAAATCAATCTTCAAGCCTCGACACCCAATCTATCTGACCGCGTTCAATGTTCGCACTCTGAAGCAAGCAGGAAAACAAGCTGCTCTTGCTATCACACTGTGCCGCTTGGCATTAATGTGCGCTGTATCTCAGTAACAAGAATTGAAGTTACAAGCACAGTGATTGAGCTAACCGCCCCATCACTCTCTCCTCGCTTCCGGCTACGCACCTCTGGTGATCCAGAGGCTGCTGCGGCCGGATGTGCAGAGGTCGGTGTCGTGCTGACTCACCGGGCGGAAGTATCCTTACTTGACTGGATATCCGTTGATAGTTGCCTCTGTGCGGTTCGTCTGGCAACGTCTGTGAAGGAGTTTCATAAGCGGCAAGTTGATAAATGTCTGTTCATCGCCTTCATCCCAACTGACTAGCTCCGACGCCGGTAAACACGCGTTTGATGATGCTATGAACGGTTTGTTGTGGTGAGCAAAAGTTCAGATATCGTTTTGGTTGTTGAAAATATGAATACACAAGTGGGCAGGCTTAGCATATCTCAGACTCAGTTGGGAGGTTGACATGGATTGGACTCGGTGCGTACGGACAATGGGGAACGATTGCTTCAGCTGTGTGCTGATCGCAAGATATTTTTATGCAGTACTAACTTTCGAAATAGCCGAAGTCGTCTGGCCACATGATGTCCCCCAACGGCAGGCCGGTCTCAAACTCAAATCAGTCACATTGCCATCAGTTACCAATGGCGCGGATGAACAACGTACTGTCAGTAATTTGGGAAGCATTTGTGGATTTCGACCACGCGTTTGTCCGGAGTCGCTTCTCCCTATGTTTTCCGGGGCCGCTTAAGATGTGGACAAATCGCCTAGGACCTAAGAGGCTGCGACATCCGGATATTAGACGAGCCTACCAGAATCATCTTCTGGAATCTCTTCCGAGGGTTCCACCATCAGATATGAACTCAACTCTTGCATAGCGCTGGGAATTTTACCTGCGGCACGACACCGCCAAGCGCACTCAAGCACTGCATATTAGACCGAATTTTGGCGCTTTTTTAATCTCAAAGAAATATCACAGCCGGCCCGGAGCAAAACTTGATGCGACTTATCAGACGTCAAGTGAAGGTGAGCGTGAATATCTCAGATAAAGTAGAAGGCCCCAACCGATGGATCAAATATTTCGAACAACAATTGTCATGGCCACCAGCTGTCACTCATCTGGAGTCTATGGATGGCGTAGAACTCTGGATAGTGAACGTTGAACCACCTACGGCCTCGGAGGTTTACGACTGCATATGTTCTCTAAAGCGCCACTGAGCATCTGGTCCGGATGATCTCCCACCCACACTGTTCAAAGACGGGGATGAGGTCCTCAGTCAGCACTAGTCTATGTTTGCTTGCATTTGGGAAAAGGAGTCTGCCCCAGACAAACAACGAGAATCGGTGATAGTGTCCGTTTTCAAAAAGGGGGCGCGTAGTGAGTATGGTAACCACAGGGGGATCAGGTTGACCCCGGTCGTAACGAGACCGTTGGTGACAATTGTGCTTCGTTGCCTTACATAGCTTGGTGAGACACTGACTCGAGAACAGCAAGCGGGATTCCGGCCTGGTAGGGGTTGTGTTGACCAAATCTTCACACTGCGTCAGGTGCTAGAACAACGCCATACGTATAAGCAACCCACAATTCTAGTGTTCCTGGATTTCCAAGGTGCATTTGTCTCGGTTGACTGGTCTGTTCTGCTTGACACGCTTGCCCAACAAGGACTGCCCGTTATGTTTGTGAAATTAATAGGTCTCCTGTATTCTCAGACTTTCGGATGTGAGATTAAACGGCGAGCTCACCGAAAGCTTCTGTACACAATGCAGTATCCATCAGGGATTCTCGCTCTCCCATTTCAGGAGACGAACGTTAGAAGGTCTCCAATTTTCTCCGACTTTCAGATAGCTTGTGACGGAAACGTCGATGTGGAATATTCATTTGCTAATTTGAGACTACTATGGCGTCAGAATGGTTTATCCCTGAATCTGAAGGGATGTGTGTAACAAGCTACAGTACGGGCTGTTTTGTTGCATGGCTGAGACTTGACCTATTAGAGCAGCGGAATTGAGACGTCTTCAGTTGTTCGACAATCGTTGTCTCAGAACCATAGCTCATGTAGTTTGGCGTCGGCGAATCCTTAACGAGGCAGTTAGAAAGCGCGCTTTCAGTTGTGCGGCGGGTACTTGCATCGAAGAATGTGTCCAGCACCAGAAACTGCGTTGGTTTGGACATGTGTTGTGTATGCCGAACCATCGTTTGCCGAAGAGAGTGCTGTTTTCCATGCCCGATTCAGAGGTGGCTAACCCTCTACTTAGCAGAGGAGTATGATGGAGATCACGAAACACTTGGGTACTCTCGGTGCTACTGGCCTTCCAGGATGGGGACCGCGTGATCCTCACTGCGCCTGGTTGGAGAAGCTGCGTGATATGGTTGCCAACCGATGTCAGTGGCGTTCTTGTTGTCAGTTTCTATCCAGATTGCCTGAATGAGTGTTTGGAGGTTTACATGATTATATAGACCATGCCTTTGCATAGACCATTAACTCGTAATTCTCACTATATTTTCAGCTCACGTACTACGGTTATTGGACGGTTAAAGCATACATTACGCCCTTCTATTCTGTCTTTTATTCTCGTGCTGGAACTGCTCGACCCGTAACAGGTGTAAGCACCCCGAAATGTTCACAGTAAGCCAGGACTAAGTCCCTTCCTCGTCCACCCTTATTCTATTCTGTCATTCTCGTGCTGGAACTGCTCGACCCGTAACAGGTGTAAGCACCCCGAAATGTTCACAGTAAGCCAGGACTAAGTCCCTTCCTCGTCCACCCTTATTCTTTTCTTCACAATAAGACTTTCAAATAAATCTTGTTGTACGACAGCGGAGCACCGATGTTGAACACTGATGTCATGCTGTCGATGATGACGAGAAAACTGAAGGAGTTCTGTGAAGTCCCCAATGCAGTGGCTGGTTGGTGACCAAGTCCCAAAGAAATCCTGTAGGCCTAAACACTAACACATCCATACAGCTGCCTTGGGCGCAATTCATCATCATCAGCCTTAAAAACCGCGTTCTTGTGCAGTGGTTACAACTCACGGTTTCGTTCGCCGATGATCTGGATAGGTAGGGATGGATAGATACGCATTGGAGTTGGTAGATGCTATAGTTTATTCGTGAATACAGAGTTGGCATTATCATTGGACAGGTTGCTATGCAGTGTAGGCAATGGTGCCACCGGGAGCGCTACTGAACAATGTCTGACAATGTCTCCAACCATCGGTGTGCCCCGTCTCGGATTCCCATTCAGGTAGTCGGCAATCACTAGGCCGAATGGGTCTGCTGATAATGGCTTTCATACCTCGTTGGCTCGTTTCCACCCTTCATTTTGTTGTGCCAAGGGACTTTCAGAAAATGTCGACCAAGCCAGCGGAACGTATGGAATGTGATCAGTTCATCTGCTACGGTTGAGTTATTCCTTCCAACTACTGTTCGCTGTACTTCAGGACTACTTATCCGGTGTTCCCGCTAAAGTCGCGGGTGCTCAGCACCCGCATTCGATGTCTTCGGAGCAGGCGGAATTGTTTTGATGAGGAGGCTAAGCAATATCTCTCATGATTCAACAGAAGCATTTAGCGTTCGTCGAAACCCCCAAGATCCGGCAGACAATGGCCCCGTATCAGTGAGTTGGACTCAGCTTCCAGGAGGGGACAGCAAATAGTCTGTCAACCAGGATCTGATGTCGATCATCAGCATCGGTGGCGAACGCTGGTTTTATGCAATCGGTTTTGACGATAGAATTGATGAAACCCGCCGCACGAATGTGTCAGTGCTGAACTCTTCAGAGACTGCGATAGCAAGAACATATATGTGGGTTGCAAACAGCGACATCACAGTTTCCCCACAACGCCAACTCAACGGCATAGTAGGGTGATAAGGTGCTTTCAGCTCATAATTATGACTGTCTAGTTGGTTGAACTGCTAGCAAGTGGTATTGGCAAGTAGCTATACCAGGATCGGGAAACCCACTTTTGTTTCCTTTGAACTTAGTCGTTTATGACGATGCAATATCGGTCCCCCCAGGACTACCTCGGTGAGGTGCAATAGATGTGATAAGAATTTGAGACATTCGCTGATCGTTTGCCGTCACTTTGATGTATGCTTGTGTATATTCCTGAGGTAGAGGCGCCGTATTTCCCAAGCCAGAGCACATCCTCAGTGATTAGAGTGCAAATCTACTGACCTGAAGGTCCGTAGTTCGAACCCGACTTCTGCCTCTCGACTTCCCCTGTCGACGTGGCAGTATCCCGGCCCTCGTGCTTGCTTCGTGTGGCATGGCAGCTGGGCACCGAAAAAGGTGTCACAGCTGAACGATTTTTTCTTTAATGTATGTGTAAAGAAGCTCGCTACGAACAGCTATGTGGAACCTGATGCATTATGTATAGTGAATGGCGATGTCGCATCGCAATTGTTTGTGAGGTTTGTTACATCAGTTATCCGTTTTGTGAGAAATTTCATTGTAGGTTGGTTGGAAGTTGGGTTCTGGCACTACATCACGACGGCATAACTCATCCTCACTCAAATACAGTTCAGTTGGTCTGTTCAACTCATGGCAATACTGCTGGACGAAGTCCTAACCCCCCACCCCCTGGCCGCTCACATTTGGTATACATACGGGCGATTATTCATCATCATTATTACATAAGATCATCATATCTGGGTTTGCTTGCAATGTAATTCAAACAAAATGTTCGCCTCTAATTTAAGTGAGACGATCCTGTAACTGCTGCCTTACAATTTCGTAGGCCGAGGTCGCAGCCGTTCTCGCTCTCGAGACCGTCGTTCGAGATCACGCCGGAGGTCCAGCTCACGTCGGCGTCGAAGCCGGTCGCGTGACCGGCGAAGCTCACGTTCTCGACACAGCCGAAGGCGATCACGTACCCGCTCGAGGTCACATGGACGCAGGAGGCATTCCCGTTCTGTGAGTCGCGATCGCCGCCGCAGCAACCGTGGACGGTCCAAGTGAGTTTGTCAACATTTTCGATTTCATACATTGACGTAAGTAGTGTGGTTTTTTGTGCTCATCTTGTGTGCGTTGTTTTCCTTTGAAATATCCCCCAAGGATTAATGGTTTTCCTGTTGTTTAATCAGTTGCAGTTTGTTCGCGTGTGTTAGGTGATGTGTTGTCTCAAATTGATACGGTTTGTTTTCTTGGGGTCAGCTCGGCTTATCTTGATCTAGAAAACTTAGACAATCCATCTAGGTTACTAATGGCCAGTGTGCTTGAGTGAATGGTTTCCGGGACTTGGGACTAAATTCGAAAACTGCTGACCATCGACATCAGTAACTTCACCAACAGCACTCAACTCTTGCACAGTTATGTCTTTTTGCGTGGCGAAACCTATTGTGAAAAATGAGATAATAAGCAGGGAACTTGTGCTAACTTACCGCAGACATCCTTTGTTCACAGGCATTTAAACTCAGTCAAACAACTGAAGACTAGCAGAAAGAATGCTAAGGAGAATGGTTCGCAGCCTTTTCATCCACATACAGGGTCGAAATGCACACTCCAATTGAGGTGGACTAAATAAACATTACGGAGACTTGCAATCCCGGGAGCTTTCGGGACTCGACGTGTCCACCTTTCTGCAGTATCGTAAATTTGACTTCAGTGGACAACCCCTCAATTTACAAAACACATCGTAGTTTATCATACTTGATGCGGTCCGTGCATGGAGTTCCTTCTGCATTATCAGTCATCCGTTCGCTGTTCACCTCATTTGATTTGCTGATATCGGCATAATTGATTAGAAAACGCAATTATGGCCTTTTAGGTTCACGCGCTGAATTTCACTTGTAAGCAGCTCGTGATATCATTTCCGATTATGCGTCTGCTACCCGCCATCCCGGTCCCTTGGGTTGAATTACCGGTCGTTCAAGCAGCTTCTCAGGTGCAACATGTATTGGATTACTTCACATTGCGGCTCGCCCTTTACTGTAATTTCTGTTTATTCTACTAACTGTTTGTGAATAAAAAAAACTCATCAGAGTCAATACAACTGCCGGAATAAAAGTTATTTCACAGGTCGTACTGGTGTGCCTTTGGTGGGCTGGCATCCGTTCCCGGGTTAGCCGTTTACATCGGATTACAGCGATGGACGCTTACCCACAGTGGGTAATGCCTCATGCGGTTTGCGCTGAACTGCGTGTGCAACCGGCAGTACTTGTACTCGGTGTAAACCCGGAGAGAGGGGGGAAGGCGGAAGGGTGAACAGCAAGGGGCAGTTCTAAAGCCATTAGCATGCCCCACAGGTGGCCATAATTTTCAAATTCTGCGGAAATGACCGAACAATTGGGACCCGCAGGGTGACCTGGTGGCCCGAATATTGATATGTATCGGGATCGGGTACGATCAACGGTTATACGCGACCTGAGAACGAGCGCACAACTCCCCAGCTATGACGCGGGCCCAACCACTCCTAGCGCAGACAGAGAAGAAGACCAGGCCTTCAGAAGAGGGCTTTTACTGCCTCAATCAAAGGCGAATTACAGTGAGAGCAACGTCGTATATATATATTTCGAGCGACCTTGGGGAGCGATAGGTCAGTTAATGCACACAAAGTATAACTGGCCAATAGAAAAAGAGCGCGGTCTTTACGGATTAAGGTGCAACATGGCGGAAAAGACGCGAAATTTAAAAT